GAAATTCCAGTTTGACGAAGGAAATAAGGGATAAAAAGAGGGATTCATTTCAGTCAGACTGCATCTAGGAGTAGGAAAAATGGATAAAGAAACTGTACTGTCCCTTTTCAAAACAAAGTACTATAGCAATGTGAATGAATCATATAGTAATAATACGAATATTACATTTCAAAGAATAGCATAGTACACAGGGTCAGTAAAATTATTCACTTTTTTAAACTCTTATGCTCACCAAGGCTGCATCTTTTTTATAAAAAAAAATACAGTAAAAATAGTAATAATGTGAAGTATTATTTCAATTTAAAATAACTTTATGGAAGCTTGTTTCCGCCACAGAATGAAAAATAAAAAAAGGTAATTGCGACTTTGGCCACGTCTACACGAAGCCGGTGCGTTCCCAATCCGGTATTTTTTTTCCTCATTTAAAAAAAAAAAATCTGTAAACACAGCGTCGTCTCAAGAATTATCTGCGTATACACAAAACCACTGAAACCGACTGAAAACGGTGTAGTATATATGCCAGACCAGTATGGGGCACTGTAATTCTGCCACAGAGATACACTATAGACAGAGAAGACAACTTTGAGCATGCGCATAACCTTGCGCACTGTATACGAACCAAGGAGAAGACGAAGATGGCATGTGACGCAGCCGACACGTGATGTGATGACATCATCGTTTCACAAAATATACTGATTGGCTGTACACACGAAACCGCAAGGGTGTCGCTTTTAAATTAATCCACTTTGGGACCCGGTTTAAAAAAATTGCGGTTTCACTCTCCCAAAACGCCGGATTTGTGTGGACGAAACGCCAATACGATAAAACATGTATACGCATCTTTGTGTGGATGGGCCCTTTATCTCACAATTCTGACTCTCTCACAATTGCGTGTTTACATCTCATTCCTCAGAATTGCAAGATATAAAGTTAGAATTGCGCGATATAGTCGCAATTGCGCGATATAAAGTCGCAATTGCGCGATATAAAGTCAGAATTGATTGATATAAAGTCGTAATAGCGTGTTATATAGTCAGAAATGCGAGAAGTCAAAATTGCGTGTTGTAAAGTCAGAACTGTGAGATATAAACTATTCTGAGGGGTAAAAGTCTTTTTCCCTTAGAATTGGCCTAACTTGCGAGTTTATATCTCACAATTCTGAGAAAAGATGTCAGAATTGAGATATAAACTCACAATTGTGTTATAAAGTCAGAATTGCGAGATGTAAACTCGCAATTGTGAGAAAAAAAGTCACAATTGTGAGATAAAAAGTCTATCTTTATTTCTCATAATTGCGACTATTTCATCTCTCACAATTGTGTTTTTACATTTTTTAACAGGATTCTTTGATGAATAGAAAGCTCAAATAGAAGTAGAAAACTTTTGAAAATTGTACGCGTTCTTGCTGAATAAAAGTACTCATTTCTTTTGAATAAATACAGATTCTTTCAGCAATTGATCACTTAATGAAAATTGAGAATGTTAGTATAGTCATTTCCGATACAAAGACTGTTTATAATCAAATGCCACCAAACCTGGTGTGAAATGCCTATTTTTAACACAAATAAAGTGAGTTTGGAATGAGCGTATGTCAGTAATGGCAGATTTTTCATTTCTGGGTATTAACTATTTCTTTAATGTTTTTGCATTTGCTTCCCCTCACCTCAGCTCCCAGGGCGGTCAGGGTTTCAATGAGCACTGCGGTCTGTAGAGTCATGTGCAGACAGCCTGCGATGCGACCGCCTTTCAGGGGTTTCGTCTGGCCGTAGAGCTCCCTCATCTTCATCAGACCCGGCATCTCATTCTCAGCTATTTCTATGGCTTTACGTCCCCACTCGGCCAGGCTGATATCAGCTGGACACAGAAAATGACACCAAATGTTTCATTGAGGAAACCAGATTAAATTACATAGGCAAACCATTACAGATGGTGCATACTTGGATCATGCAGGTTAAAGAGGTCTTTGAAAAGTCTGTCTCATATTTGGACATCTAAAAGAGGAATTCAACAGATGACACCCAAACCCGCATGCCTAACATGGTTAAGGAGAAGATGGTGCTTGGTTTCATGTGCACATTCACCATGAGGTTACCTAAGAAATTCTGACTTTAATTTTACTTCCAGTGCTCCTACCACAGCAGATAATGGAAGAAAACACACCTGCCTTGATATTCAGGTGGTCAAACAAATGTTTAATCACAAAAGAAAATGGCATTTGATCAGAGAGGGTATTTTTAACTGCAACCAGAAACCTATGAGTATTTGAAGATGTTGTTTTATGAATGGGCATTTCCATGACTTAAAAGTATTAATTCCTAACATTTTTCTATACCTGTTACCATTTTCCCATTGACCATGGGAACCCTGTGCCTTCAGAATGGTCTGTTAATAAATATGGCAAGTTTGCAGTACTGGTGCTGGCAATAAAAGTCAAACTTTTACATTTCATTCACTGATTTTGAAAAACTGAACTCTGAACGTTAAAGACTATGGAGCAAAGTCCGGCTAGATTTACTATTGAATTACTTCTCCCTTATCTGCAGTGAGAACATCAGAGAGTTTTGCTGAAAAAAACAACAACAACAGAAGCTGCAAATGCCTGAGGAACAGACAAACAGGTGCTAAGTCCGGTCACTGTGACTATGCTGACGTGTGTCTAAACGAGACGCAGAAACAACCGTCAAGATATTAACTTAATGTATTTAATTAGCCTTAAATTGAAGTGCACCGTTTTAGAGCGTACCATTCACTTTCGGTTATTCACGAAGCGGTTACCTCTGAATCGCCTCAATGAACGATAAGCAAGTTAGACGAATCATTCTTTTGAGCCGGACCTTCAATGAATCGACTGTTTTAATTCACATGCAAACAAATAGCTGATTTAATAAACATCATTTTATGAAACAGAACAAACACTTTTTAGCCAGTTGATAAATTAATTTATCAGCTTGAATTTTATATTGTTCAATGTAGCAACATAAAATATTTTTAGGCTTTAAATTACCATTTCGATGATCTACAAAAAAAATAATAAAACAACTAAACCGAAACCCCGTAATAAAAAGCAATATTTTACTACATTTCAAAAGTTTTAAAGCATTAAATGTGCAATAACGGAGTCAGAGTGTAAGAGTCCAAATGATGACGTAAGAGCAGCCAAACTGTTTTATGAACCGATTCCACGAAACGAACTGTTCAATAGAACCGATTCGTGAAAATGAATGAGTACGTTCAATGAGAAGTGGCGGCGCGTTTGACCACTGCATTGTGGGAAATGTAGTTCGGTAGAGAAGCAGTTCTCGTACAGAGTAGCTTCTCTAGTGCACACAAAACACTACAACTTCCAAACTTTCTTCTTCACGTCTTCCGTATGGAACCACGCTAGCTTGTTTGACAGGTGTTCGATATAAAATCGTATATAATACTTTGCGGGTAACCATAAATGGCTATGGTAACGAACTAGACCTTTGTAGTGCAAGAACAGTGATTTTTAAGGGGGCGGTTTTGCAATGGAGCGTCTTGTGCAAGGCAACGCTGACAATGACGAGTCCACTGCCATGTGTTATATTGTATAAGTACAGTAGCAACTAAAGATTTGCAACAATTCATGCTCGGTCAAAAATACAACCGAATAGCCCTTTGCAAAGATTCGTATGCTTTATCGAGAGGCTATTAGAGAGCTTAGTAGAAATCACCAGCATGGAGTCAGCTAGTTAGCATTGGCGGTAAATACATAATTGCACGCTTTTGTACAGGACAGCATTACGCCGGATATAAAGTCAAAAATCAAATATATTTATACTAACCAACTTTGAATGGAAGCTTCTCTGACATTTTGATGTACTGTCGTTAGGTAAGCCTGATATGAGTTGGTCTGGAGCCCGTCTGTGGACCTGAGTAAGTGCAGAAGGAGGTAGCTGTTATGCGAACTTGATTATAAGTGTGTGTACAAACCGGTTGTTGTAATATTCATGAGATCAGGCTGCATGTCGTTTCTCATTGGCTGAGAATGTTCTAAAAAAACGAGGGTGGGCGTGCTTATCTGGCTCTACGGTAGCCTATAAGAATCCACGGTGGTTTAGTGTGTGTAATATCATTTGGAATGTGGAGAGGTGTTGAATAATATACAAGTACAACAAGTTTCAACTGGCTTTGGGTGTTTTACTAATATTTAACAGCGGATCTGAGCTTGTGGGAGGAAAGTGTATTGGGCTTTTCATGAATGTTAGATTAAAATGTTTTAAAGGCAGAATCTGTTGACAAAACCAGTTGGAGTTGCTTAACATTCTCTACAAAGATATGGAATGAGCAAATGAATGAGTTATTTACCCCCAGTATAATCCCAGTAAACTAGAGACATTAGGAACATTTTCAGCAAACATAGTGGAACTTTTGGATGACACTAGGGCCCCCCTGTATAAAGTCCATCCAGTAAGCCCTGAAAATATGCCCCAGGTTTATATGCATATCTGAAAATGGTCTGGTTTCTGGGTTTGTGTGAGGAAAAAAGCATGAACATATCACTGACTGATTTACACCCTGTCAATCATAAAATTATTAAATGCAACTGACTGATCTGAATTTAAATGTTTAGGCAGATATTTACTTCAACTACTGTTTGAAAAGTCTGGGATTGGTAAGATTTTTTAATGGTTTAGATTTATATTCACTCCAGTAATGTCAAAGCTGGATGAGTGTCACATGATCCTTCAGAAATCATTCTCATATGCTGATTTGCAGCTCATTATCAATGTTAAAAACAGTTGTGCTGCTTAATACTTTTGTGTAAGCCGTGATGGATTCTTTTTTAGGACTTTTTGATGAATAGAAATCCATCCAACATTATAAATGTATTTACCGTCACTTTTTTATCAATTTAATGTGTCCTTTCTGAATCAAATTATTAATTTCTTTACAAAAATCTAACTGACCCCAAATTTTAATCCATATTGCATGTGTTCTTAGTTACAGTGCTGAAGTCATGTAGCAGGACTAGAAAACTCAGTAAAAATATTTTAATAACAATAAATGAGATTATGAGTGATATAACAATGACAAATCCAGCACCTACAATATAATGGAAAAAACATACAGAAGTATTAAAAGCTTGTCTTTCACATTCTGTACAAATCAGTTTCCATTACTACAGACTAAAGGCAAACAAAAACGAATTGCTTCAAAATCTTCATTTTACTTTCCACTGCAAGAAAGAAACAGAATAGTACCATAATATATTATACTCCATTATTGTCTCTAAAAGATTTCTGATTGTATGCATGTAACAGGACAGTGGGTATTTTAAAATAAAATAAAAGATACATTCTCAGGCCTCTTGTCTGGAGATATACTATTTCTACAAATACATTGTCAATATTCAATAGTCAAAAACTGAACAGTGATGCTTTTAAGTGCACGAAAATAATGAAAACGGACATCTAATGGGCAAATGAAAATCCAGAGAAGGGTTAATTTGGCAAAACTTTAATGTAGGTGTAAGGTTGAAAGGCAGAGAAGGACAATAAACGAGTGTCAAAAAGCCAAACAAACAATAAACAATGTCCATGAAACCTTCAGAGTCTGATAAATAAATGTTTTTATATAGATTCTGAGGAGAGGGGGGAAAAAATACTTTACCAGAACATCATAATAGTACACTTTGTAAAATATAGCATGATATTACATTAATCTGTGCTGTCTGTCCAGGTAGAAATCAGTTTGAATGCATTAACACCTCAAAATAAGACAAACATCTGAAATCTACAAGCCAAGTTGTTTACCAGTTGTAAACCATTTCTAGTGTAAAGATGGAGTCACAAGCCAGTATTTCTGAACTATCTCAAATACAAAACAGGATTCTTGAGCGAAGACACCTGTTCAATATAGAAATCCCATGCTGTCAGGAGACCGTATACCATCATGCCATTAAAGAGAGATGCTATGTACAGTAGAAGCCTCTTTATCACTCAAACTAGATGCATGTTCAAGAGGACGATCCCGACAACTTCATGCCCACCTCAGCCCCAAATTGGAGACCTAAAAGTGCTCATAAAGCCTAAGTGCTGATCTAGGACGTCCCGTGGGCAGTACGGTTCTTGTACGAAGCACCTACACTTGCATATTGAAATGCTCGAAGCACAGAATCAAAAAGGGCTTACAGTGCTTTTAACAGAACTTGAACAACTGTGAACAATGAGTTTTAGTTCCCTCCAAAAAACATGACGGAAAACGTTACAGACACCGTCCCCCACGTGCAAAGGGTTTCCGTGTGTATTGGTTTCTTGGAGCAAGCGGAGGAGATGGAAGTCTGAAATCATAGGAGTACAGGTAACGGACACAAACACTGATCTACAACAAGCCTTTTTCATGTCAGAGCAGTCCAGAGATGAGGAGAAACGAGGAGAAATCTCAGACTTGCTTAGATGAGTGTGTCGACTGTAAGCCTGGATGAGATTTTATACTTTTTTTGAGCAGTTGCATTCATGTTTTTTTTTTCCTCTCATCTGTGTTTATATATTAACCACCCATTTTAAACACAAAAACAACATACTGTAACATACTGAAGAGTCCTTCCAGGTCCTTTAGTAACTGGTATTGGAGTGAGGTTATGCCTTGTATAGTGTGTATGGGTTTTCGGCAAGCATTAATTGGCAGCCCATGCCTCCAGGTCTTTCATGTCATCCTCATCCTCTTCTTCTTTCTTCTTTGCTGCAATCACAAAAAAAAACATTCAAAAACTGGATTTAATAGAGTCCAAAGGAATGATTTGCAGTGCAAGAAATTATTTGACACGATTTGAGTGAAAAACACGATACCAGTTACTTTTTTCCAATAAGTTACAATTTATAAATTTATGATCAATTACAATTAAAAATCTGTCCCTAACAGTCTCATACACAGCTTGACACACTGTCCACATACAATATTTGATTTAAATGTAGAGAATTACGAGCCAGTGTAAAGTTTTGACCAGTGTATATGCTGTCCCCTATTGCCAAATCATACTAGGGCTGGAACTAACGATTATTTTGATAATCGATTAAAGGTGCCATATGTAATAATTGAGGTAAAAATATCCAAAAAATGAGCTACAAGCATCAAAAGAATGAGAAGAAATAAGTGCAATGATGTAATTAAAAAACTGACAAGTTATAGTGCTGCCGACATATAAACCTAAATTAGCATGCTAAATTGCTAGCCCCGGCCCGGCAGGTGTCGTAATACCAGTTCCGGCCATGGGAGGCGGTATGCGGGCGGGCAACGTTACCACCAGCCAAACTGCAATAGACGAGTGAGTCGCGCTCGCGCCGGCTTGTGTGTTTACTTGAACCTGATGTCAGTCGTGTGGAAAATACAGCCCACTACTACATTTCAGTTCAGGGAAGAGTTCAAAAAATGATTGGTCGACATTATCCATGAGGAATACATTTTGGTAAGTTGTAGCATTCTGTACCTTTCAACAGTGTTCGTGTTCTTTCCATTAGCTAGTAGAGATGATTGGTTCACGTGCGCTAGGGATCTGTCGTCTAACATTTACAAGCGCCGAAACGGTTATTGTTTGAATTGCATAATAAAATTGACAGAATCTGAGAGCTTAACTAACCTGCTTGCTAAGTGTTAATTGCGTGTGTCTCACGATGAATTCGTGAGAGTTGGCAGCTCTGAATGGCGCTAGGTTGATCAACATCAGCGAATGCTGTCTGTCAAATTAATTCAAACTAACAATAAAAGTGTAATATGAACAAAACGAATACCGTAAACTTAAAATAATAGCCCGCAGGCTTTTATTTTCCCATATCGTCGAAATGCACCAGCTTGTTTTTGAGACAGGCGTCTATGAGACGGTCTTCATCATTTAGTGTTGAGATGTTGTTCATTGAGTCTCTGATCTCTAAAAATCTCCAAATGCTCCACGTGAAACTGCGGTCTTCCGACCTTTTACTATCGTGTCAATTGATTTGAATAATATGCGGAGAAAGAGAGCAAAACAGAGCTCGCTTGTGCTGTTTGAAGACGTGAGTGCGCGCGGCCGCGGCACAACACATTTTCTGGAGGTATACTGCCCCCATCTGTTATGGAATATAATAATTAATAATTTTTAGTTCCAGATGGCACCTTTAATCAAACGATTATTTTTTCGATTAATCGGATAAAAAAAATTCTATTTCATTTTTTTGGTTTATTATAACTAAATAAAACCCTAAATCAGGGTTGTGGCTTGCAGGACGAGACCTCGATGATCTGATTATCTCTCTTTTGTGTGTTAAACACAATCTACTTAATAGAGACAACTTCATTATTAAGAAAAAAATAAATAAATATATATATATGACAATAACCTATGACAAAAATGCTCTCATAAACTAGATTAGTGGATAACTAATCATACACAACCACGTTACATAGGCTAGATCTATGAATATTATTATAGCCCAGTGGCTGCAAGCGTACAGCGTGCGAATACACTGACACACACACACAAATACACTCTCTAGTTGTTTGTCTTGTAGGGAATGGCTGTGTTGTTCTCTGCTTTCTACCAAATCATTTGAACACTCGTCTTTCTTTTTTCTAAAGCTATATCAGCAACATTGAAAGCTCCAGTCTCTGTGTTTAACAATAAAGCTCATGGGATTGCAGTGTGTACCAGCTGCTTTGGCTAAAATGATCAGGTTAATTGAATCACGACGTGTGCAAACGACCTCCCGAGTGTCTGAACTCACACAGCGTATGCCTGCCTTTGAGGGTAGGGGTTGTGTTAGGCCATAGAAAATATCATTAATCTGATAGAAAATCAATGGAAGTCTATGCAATGTCCTTTACTAATATAGTGAAACAAAAATTCATGTGTGTGTGTAGTACCTGGTCTGGAAGGTAAGGATGTAGAGGGCACGTTTGGCAGTGGTACATTGTCTCCGATCTCCAGAAGGTTCTTATCCAACTCTTCCTGCTCCAGCTCTTCTAGTTCAGCTAACAGCTCATCCTGAAACAACACACTATCTGTTTACGGTATACCTAGAACTACATGCCTCTCAAATGTGACCACTTGTGATTGGATTTAAGTGTATGTACATCACATTAATACACTACACATCAAAAGTTTGGGTAGAATCTTTTTTTTTAATTTATTTTTTTTACCAATGTTATCATATTAGGTATAAACCTCTTACTTCATCAAATTCCTCCCCAAATCCAACAGGCTTTGAGATTGCGTCTGAAATTTCTTGTGCCAGCTCCTGCTGTTCTGTGATGTCCTGCATAAGTTCGTCCACTTTGTCAATGTCCCTAAAGTTACACAGACAACAGACTGAGTAGTGAACTCAAATGTATGATCTCCTGCCAATAGTTCACCCAAAAATAAATATTCTGTCATAATGTAATCACCCAAACCTCTAAGACTTTCATTCATCTTCAAAACACAAATTAATTTTTTTATGAAATCTGAGAGCTTTCTGTCCCTCAAATCTGTCCCGCCAACACGAGAATGAACCTCATTGGTTCTCGCACATCAAGTGAACATGCTCGAGCTTCTGTTTACCGCAACTGATGTGTGAGTTGATGAATGTTTATGTGTGAATAAAAGCCTAAATTAAATCTGTTATCATATAAAGCGATCAAGTCTCTTTAGAAAATTCGGACTAAACCACTCAATTCATGATTTTTGAAGCATCAAGCTGTCAGTTGCGTTGCTGTCAATGGAGGGACAGAAAGCTTAACTTGTGTTCCAAAGATGAACGAAAGTTTGGAACGACATGAGGGTGAATAATCAATGACTGAGTTTTCCCTTTTGGTAAACAAACCCTTTAACATTTTATATAGCTATATCCAATTTCTAAGTACCATAAACCCAATAGCTTGCATTGGTAAATTGAACTTGTTTATGATAAACCCAGAACCTTGCCACAGTGAGGCTATTAGATAGGTGTCTGGAAAAAGAAGGGAAGTACTGATAAAAAGAAAAGAAAAAGAAACTCCTCACATGTTGTCATGGGCCGCCTTCATGGCCTTGGCAGCATAGCCCATATTCTTGATGACCTCAGTGTTGGTGTGGGCGTTCTCTAGCGCCTCCCGCTGGAACTCAATGGTAGAAAGGGTGCCATCAATCTGGGCTAACTGCTTCTCGTAGCGCTTCTTACGCTTCAGTGCCTGTAATGCAGCTGTTTCAAAAAGGAAGAAAGGAAATGTTAAGATTAAAGCACAAAATACAGAGTTTGGGAACCTCATGGATTATTATTGCACAACATAAAGGTCTATTGATTTTGTTAGATACCTCTTTATTTAAATTACGATTTAGCGTCATCGTCATGCATTATCGGCTGCCAGTCCAGCTGTTACCCAGAACCCAGGGATTTGGGCACAATATTGTCAAGACGCTTTAGTAAGAAATTGCTACAGCAAAAGGTAAAATGGAGAGTCCACAGTGTAAGATTCCCAGTACTAAATCAAAATTATGAGCAGAGGTTTTCAAAATGATTTCTCAGGGAAGCAGTGGTGCAGAGTTAGGGACTCAGTACAGGTGTGGTTAAATGAGGCGCACTCACCAAACTTAATCAGGCAAGTGAGCTGCAAAAAAAGAGCAAAAAGGGCCTGTTGCTTTCTAGTGAGAATCTGGTTGGCAGCCTAATTATGCATTAATGACAAGTACAACATGTGCTTTTCTTGTAAAGGTGAATCCTGCAAAGCCTGTCAAGAACATAACCAGGACAAGAAAGAAAAAAAGAAGACAAGAAACAATTTGTGTTAAGAAATTATATTGTGCACAAAGCCTATTTAAGGACCATTGTGATTTTTTTTTTTTTGCAACATTCTTTTTAAAATTATTATGCAAAAACGACCCATTCTCATTACCATAAATTGGAAAAAAGACGTATTGTTTCAGTTTTAAATAGTTTAAGTAGGTTTATTATCGTTAACTAAGCTAAAAATAAAACCATAAAAACGTTATTTGAAACAAAACAAAAATTTCTTTTTCAAAGCACCATTTTTTTTTTAGCTTAAATACTAAAATAACTAAAATTACAAATAAACTAAAATCAATAATTAATAATAAAAAACTATAGACATAATTTTAAAAAACGTATTACAATGACAAATTATTTTTGCTAAAACTTAAATGAAAACAGAAAAAAAAATATTAACTAAATCTATAGTAGTATATCAATGACACTAAAATAACACTGTTTATAAGTCATGGTAGAAGCTGCCTCTAATTTATCTATATTATTGATATAGTTAAATCAGGGTCACATTAGTATAATAGATTTGAATGTAATGTCAAACACACACAACAACATCATCATAATGTTCCTAAAAAAGGTATTTTCAGAGCATGTTCTCTGTGAGAATCACCCATAAAAAGTCACACAAACATGTTCCATTTTACTTTTAACAGATTTGAATTCTAAACATGTGATTTGAGTGATCTGTGAAAGTTTGTAGAAGAGAACAGAAAACAGCAGCTGTTTTGTACAATGTATGGAATGTGACCTGAATGTATCAGATTTGCAAGCAGCAATACTCAACAAACTCTTACATCATGAGTATGTTTAAAAAAAAGGCCACTCCAAAGACGTCACCTGTGACCTGACGTAAATGACACAAATATTTTTTCCATGAAGGCGTTGGAACTGTGAACTATGACCACACATCAGTCCCACACCCCTTGCAGTCATAAACCATCAGCTTCGTCACCTGTCGTGTCCCAGAAGCCCTCGTAGGATAATCAGATCAATTATTGATTACCTCTGTTCTGGGGACTTTAAATGTGGAGTTGAGTTACAGGCTTCCCAACAGAGATGGCTCTCTAATGTGGCCCTGACATTGTCCTGAAATCATTTATGAAACTATCTCTGGATTTCCCTAGAAGTATCGATGGGACAGAAAAAAAAACAGCCTTATAAATTTGATTTGTGTTTACATCATTTGCACAGTCTGAAAGGGGCTAGGGGCACTAATGGAAACCATGGCAAAGGCATATTGATCACAATTTTTTGATTTTATGTTGGGCAAACGGTACTAATGCTTTTTAAAAATGTATTTAGTTAAGTACTAGTAACAGTCAAATCAGAAAATAAAAAGACAGAGCATATTTAACAGTTCAGAGGATGTGAGAAAGAACAATAAAACAATTTTTATACAGAATAAACACATTGAATCAAGCTAACAAAGTTAACGGGGGCCATAACATGATTTTGAAAATCTTTCGAATATGGTTTCCTCATTTTGTGCTCTCATGTCACATAAGGGGGGTTTTGACTTGAGCTATTCTTGACTTGCATATAAAATAATTAAAAGATTATGTAATTTTGTTTTTCAGAAAAGTTTGGGTTTTGTAAATAAAGTAAAATATGAGTTATAAGTTATAAATTACAAAAAATAACATTTTTTTGCATTTACAGAATAACATTGATGAATAATTTTGTATGTTATTGCCTTTAGTTTTGTTTGAAGCTCTTCTGGAGGAAAGTCCGTGAGTCAACTATCATGACCATGGAGACCAGGGCAGGTCAAAGATGAACTGATGGAGAGAATTCATCAAATTAAAGGAAAATTATCATCCTAAATAAAACATTTGACATTTATCCCAGTCATCCACGACAGATCTGAATGACTAGTTCTGTTCATTACTCCGTTACTTATATAACTTCGATCACAAATATACATTTTTTAGTTAATTAATTTGTCTGATACACAACATAACAGGCACGCGAAGCTGTGACAACCATACACACTACAAAGCTAATTTCACACTGCCAACCTAACCTGATTTAACGTTAACCAGCTAATCTATGCCAGGTGAGCCAGTTCATCTCCCACCTCTTTTGTTCTTCGTTCCGTTCCTCTTGGCCGTAACAAGCTCCTGGTCGATCTTTTTCTCCAGGAATTCCTGCTTCTTGGTCAGCATTTCTTCTGTTTCTCGCAGTCGCTGGATAGCCTCTTGAGGGCTTGGGGATTTACCCCCTTTTCCACTGCTACCAAATAACTTCCCAAACAAAGACATTTTGCCCTCGGGACGACAGCAAGGATTGATTTTGTGTCTACTAGTCTGGACTGGTCACCTCAGAGTATCTTCTGTCTGTCACTGGCTCAACAGGCTTGTTGTTGTTTTTTCTGCTTCCTCTTCTCTAACCCAGGCCGCATGACATCATCACGTCACAAGAACATGACGAACGTGGTTTTCCGATTGTCACGTTCTGAACTATTTTACAAAATAAGAGTCTCAAATAACTACATTAGGATTGGTGTGAAGCTTTTGATTAAATTGAACATTGTTTTGCAGCTGAGTGAATTTGACATAATAAACTTCAATGATCATGGAATTTAGAAAGAAAAGGCACACTTCATACAATTGTTAATATTAATGGGAAAGTTTCACATTCATGAAATGGTCAGCTGATTCCAAACCAAATATTTCTTACTTTAGAAATTATTCAAAGATTTATTGTTTTGTTTCGTGTAATTGCACAAGTAAAAAGGCAATTAGAGCTTATAACATTTTAAGCAGGTATGTTACTGTATAGTGGCACTGTTTTCTTTTTGTCTATTATAATTTTGTCCTTTTTGCACAGTGTTATTTTTATTATATTTTACTTTAGTTATTTTGATTTTATTTACTTTTAATGAATATGTCTCATTGTATTGTTCTGGTTTAGGGCATTAATAATAAAAAAATGTCACTTTGTTCACAAATGGGTTGTGGCAAGTTTTAAGATTACGTTTATAATACTAGGGAGGTTCCATATACATATTTTTTTTTTTTTTTTTTTTTTTTTTTTTACAAAATGTACTACATTTTATACATGATTTTAAACAATAGTCTATGGTTTAATTAAAGTAAATTATTATTTTTTGAAAGCATGTATTATTATTATTATTATTATTAAATAGAATATTGATGGGTCATAAGTGTTTATGAACAATCGGATTTCATGAAATCTTAGCGAATCTTGCGTCGTCGTTCCTACGAAATAAAATAACCTTATGATTTAAATAAATTCTTATGTCATATTAAATATCTAGTAATTATTAATTTATGCAGAATTAGCGGACATTAAATACGACTGTTTAAATATTACATGTATTCTCAAACTAGAGAATGAGAATTGAAAGTGACTTTTTTCCCACTAATATTTATTATTATTATTTTAATCCTTTTTAAATTCCACAAAACCTGATTTTTTATTTGTGAAACGTTTTTTATTTACCTATAATTAAAATAATAATTAAAAAATGTACTTTACTCCGTGGTCAGAGTAAATGATTGGCAGGTTTGCCAGCCAATGCAACTGTACGCTGGTCTATGACGTGAGTTCCGGTGTACGCACAGGCCTTGTCCTCGTCCTTGATCAAATCCCTCAGCAGCACTTGACGGACGAAAGACACACATTTGCACGGAAAAATGGTCGCTTACTGGAGACAAGCAGGGCTGAGGTAACGTTACCATTAAAATTAAACAAAGTAAAAGCTGTGTAATTTCTATTTTAATTGCTGTGCGGTCCGTGAAGTTACAAAGCTGCTGTTAATTAGGTTTGGCCTTGCTCTACGGCTATGCATTTTACTGTAGTAGTAACGTTAGTGTCATTTTGAATTTGAATCAAAATTCACATTCGTAAGAGCAGGGGTTTTTTGTAGTTATTTTGTAACCTAATATTTGTTTTTGTCATTTCAGTTACATCAAGTACTCGGCTATCTGCGCCAGGGTCGTGCGGGCAGCACTGAAGCCACAGATCAGAGTCGAGGCGCTTAAAAACGCAGAATCCAATGTGAAGGTCATTAAAATCAAGACGGCATAATGTGAGTTCCTTATTCCTTTAAACAATTCAAGTGTTTATCTGAACTGGTCTACTGTTGTAGAAATTGATGCATTAACTGAACATTTTTAGACCTACCTTTTTAGTCCCATGTTTTATGGAAGGTTTGTTATGATTGATGTACTTTTCTGCTTTTTTGTAGGAGCTGCAATTACACCCTGCAATCCCTACTTCTCCATATACATTCTCTGTCGGATTTACATCAAGACCCGCAGTTATGTTGATTGAATGAAAATAGTTGTATTCTTTTGATAATAAATTATGAGTCTCAAACTAAAACAGTCTTCACTCTGTGTTCTTGGTCTAAAGAGCAAGCATGCATTGGGCATGAGTGTGTGCATTACTTTTAATTTATCATGTCAGTTTTGCTTGTTATATGTAAGTAATATTGACATTGTCCACACTTGGTTGGCTGTGTGGTAGTAAAATGGTTTCTGCGTAAGATGTGGACAGATTTGGCTTATCAATGCTCTTTGTATATAATTAATATTTCACAGGCTATACAAGGATGGTATTTCAGTATACATCAGGTTTAACTAGAGATGTGTTAAAAACAGCAGGATTTCCAGATAATACTGTGTCTAGTATTTTATTAAAACATCTACAGTGTTCGCATTATCTAAAACCTCTTAAAGTAAAAAATAAATAAATTATGTCATCATTTACTCTCCCTCAAATTGTTGCATGAATTTTTTCTTCTGCTGAACACAAAGGAAGATATTTTGAAGATCATTTGGAACTTTGGCACCATTGACTTCCATTGCATTGTATTTATGGTTTGCAACAACTTGAGGGTGAGTAAATGATGACAATTTATTTTTGGGTGGAGAATCCCTTTAAATTGAATATTTTGTTGCTTACTGGTGTCCAGTTTTGGGTTTTTTTCATAAATGAAAACTGATGTGTGCATGACATAATTGACGATGAAATGGAAAATAAAAGTTCCTAGCATTATAAATAGTGAAGAACAATGCAGATACATCAAATATGTTTTAATTGTTATATGTTAATAATAACATGTGTTTTAAAGGATAAGCAAAAGTAACAAAAACAGAAATGTAGCCTGTTGAATGTATAAAAAAAAAAACTACAGAAGAATTTAAGCCTCTATATAATATTACATCACACAAATGAAAACCAGTTTTGACTTTAAGTTTCTTTCTGTTAAATCTTTGTAGATTTTCATTATTACAGAACATACAGAAATGTGCTGTGCTCTCCAGTGAATACAATCAACATTTTCTATATATATATATATATATAGAGAGAGAGAGAGAGAGAGAGAGAGAGAGAGATTTACAATATAGTAAACACTACTGTTAGTTTGGGTTCAGTTAATACTTTTTTCAGTAAGGATGCATTGAATTGATCAAAGGTGACATTTATAATGTTACAACAGATTTTAATTTCAAGAAATGCAGTTCTTTTGAAAGTATCAAGGTTTCCACAAAAATATTAAGCATTACAACTCTTTTCAATATTGATAATAAATTCACATTATTACTGTTTACTGTATTTTTGATTAATTAAAGGATGCTTTAAAGAGCATAAGAGACTTTTAACAAATTACAAAAATCTGACCAACCCCAAACTTTTGAACAGTTGTGTACATCTGCCTGAAAAGATATTTAAAAGATTAGAAAACTCCTATGTCCTATGTGTAATTCATAATTTTCTTCTGGAGATCAGACATATTTCACAGTTTGTTATGTACAGAGGCTCCAAATAACATTTGAACACTTGAGGAACAGTGTCATTAAATTACATAAAATATAAAAACAAAAATACATTTCAATAGGTTGTAAATGTTAAAGAGATGTTCTAAATGACACTTTGGACACTGCGATTAACATATTTGAACTTCAGATGCCCCTATATCTAATGCAATGTAATACATAACATCCATTTTAAAGGAGTAGTTCCCTTTAAAAAAAAAAAACTTGCTGATAATTTACTCACCCACATGTTATCCAAGACATCCACTTCTTTCTTTCTTCAGTCGAAAAGAAATTAAGGTTTTTGATGAAAACATTCCAGGATTTTTCTCCATATAATGGACTTCAATGGGAACCAAACAGTTCAAGGTCCAAATTAGAGTTTCAGTGCAGCTTCAAAGGGCTTTAAACGACACCAAACCATGAATAAGGGTCTTATCTAGCGAAACGATTGCTCATTTCAAAAATAAATAAAAAGTTCAAGTTTTATAAGCACTAATACTCGCCTTGCTCTGTTCTGTGATGCGCATTCGTGACTCTCCTGTTTGAACTCGTTCATCAGCATTAACAAATCTTTCGAGTCATTTGGTTCAGAATGACGTTTCGCTAGATAAGACCCTTATTCGGTCTGGTGTCGTTTAAAGCCCTTTGAAGCTGCACTTGAAACTCTCATTTGGACCTTGAACCGTTTGGTTCCCATTGAAGTCCATTATATGGAGAAAAATCCTGGAATGTTTTCATCAAAAACCTTAATTTCTTTTCGACTGAAGAAAGAAAGAAGTGGATGTCTTGGATAACATGTGGGTGAGTAAATTATCAGCAAAAGTTTTTTTAAAGTGAACTACTCCTTTAAGGGTATCTGAAGTGTCTAAATACTTTTTGTGCCCACTGAATGATCTCACTCTTGACCCAATCCACTCGAATATGATCCACTCGTGCCATATTCACAAAAGCACTCGCGTCATTCGCTATCAGATGTTTCAGCGACCGACTCAGTCTTAACCTCTACTCGAGTGCTCTGTACTATTGATGGCAGACCCTCCTCTTCTGCCTCTTCATCTTCTGCGTCGTAATCAATATCGGCTGTGGCATCCTGATATTGCTGGTATTCTGAAACCAGATCATTCATGTTGCTCTCCGCCTCGGTGAACTCCAGCTCATCCATGCCCTCCCCCGTGTACCAATGCAGGAAGGCCTTGCGTCGGAACATGACCGAAAACTGCTCCCCTATGCGCTTGAATATCTCCTGGATGGCGGTGTTGTTTCCGATGAACGTGGAGGCCATTTTGAGGCCTCGTGGCGGGATATCACAAACAACGACTTTGACGTTGTGAGGGATCCAATCCACAAAGTAATTGCTGTTCTTCTGCTGAATGGCGAGCATCTGCTCATCGACCTCCTTAGTGGACATGTGACCACGGAAAATGCCCGCCACTGTCAGATAGCGTCCTCGACGCGGGTCGCACGCGGTCATCATGTTACGGGCGTCGAACATCTGCTGGGTGAGCTCGGGCACCGTCAGGGCACTGTATTGTTGGCTACCACGTGCTGTAAGAGGAGCGAAACCAGGCATGAAGAAATGGAGACGCGGGAAGGGCACCATATTGACGGCCAGCTTCCGAAGGTCAGCGTTCAGTTGACCTGGGAAGCGGAGGGAGGTTGTGACCCCACTCATGGTGAGGGATACGAGGTGGTTGAGATCTCCATAAGTTGGCGTTGTGAGCTTGAGAGTGCGGAAGCAGATATCATACAACGCTTCGTTGTCAATACAAAACGTCTCATCTGTATTCTCAATCAGCTGGTGAACTGATAGGGTCGCGTTATACGGCTCCACCACAGTATCGGAGACCTTCGGCGAGGGCATTACGCTGAAACTATTCATGATGCGGTCAGGGTACTCCTCTCGGATCTTATTGATAATCAAGGTACCCATTCCCGAACCAGTGCCACCACCTAGAGAGTGGACGAACTGGAACCCCTGCAAGCAGTCGCAGCTCTCCGCTTCATTACGGACACGTTCCACAACCTGCTCCACAAGTTCTGCGCCCTCGGTATAGTGACCTTTGGCCCAGTTATTGCCGGCTCCAGAATTGCCTTTATATTTACAGAGAGAAAACAGCATCAGGAATGACATTATGGTGCCAGGTTAAAAATGTTCCTGAATCAACTCTTCTGTCAGTCAGTTTTAGAGTTTGAGTCAAGTGGTGGTTACTTAAATTGTGGTCATATTGTAGATGATCATTGACTGACCGTGTATAAAATTATCCGGTCTGAAGAGCTGTCCTATGTGGCTGCTCCTCACGCTGTCCATAGTGCCAGGCTCCAGGTCCACTAACAATGCTCTTGGAACATATTTGCCACCTGACAGGCAATGAAATATCTCAGTCACTGAGAATTTTGTGGTTTAGGAAGTTACTGTGCACCTCGACTGCAAGACTGCCCCACTTACCAGATAAAGACAGCTGAGAATGGTTCTTACAATATAAAACACACCATTTACAGTAATAACAAAGGTCCAGGTCTTTTGGTTCGAGGTCCAAAAGACAGTTTCAGTGCAAACTGTTCAAAGGGCTTTAAACGATTCCAGACGATGAATAAGGGTCTTATCAAGCGAAACGATCACTCATTTAAAAAAAAAAAAAAAAAAAACAAAGTTTAAGTTTTATAAGCTCAAATGGTCGCCTTGCTCGTTCAAAATGAACTAATTTTTTCCCGAGTCAATTGGGAAAAAATTTCGTTGAATGAACCAAAATATCACACAAAAAAAGTTTCGTTCATTTTGATGAACGAGTTCGAACAGGAGAGTCACGAACGTGCATCACAGAACAGAGCAAGGCAACCATTTGAGCTTATAAATCTTAAACTTTGTTTTTTGGGGTTTTTTTTAAATGAGCGATCGTTTCGCTTGATAAGACCCTTATTCATTGGTCTCGAATCGTTTAAAGCCCTTTGAACAGTTTGCACTGAAACTGTCGTTTGGTTCCCAGTAAAGTCCATTATATGGAGAAAATCCTGGAATGTTTTCATCAAAAACCTTAATTTCTTTTCGACTGAAGAAAGAAAGACATGGATATCTTGGATGACATGGGGGTGAGTAAATTGTCAGCAAAAGTTTTTTCAAAAGTGAACTACTCCTTTAAATAGCTTGTACAAATGTGCCTTATGAGAAAACAAAACCTTACTGGTGTGCATCTTTAGACAGAACAATGGCACAGACATATTTTAAGATAAGGTAATGTGCATACCATGTGCTTCATTGAAGTACACATTGACCCTCTGAAGCTGAAGGTCCATGTCGCCCTCATATGTTCCTGCTCTGTTAATACCATGTTCTTCACTGATCACCTCCCAGAACTGCAAACACATTAGTCATATTTTCTCCATTTATTACATTTTGACCTGATCAAACTTGTATCGACATCTTCAGTACTAAAGGAAACCTTAGATTAAAAACAAAAAAACAAAAAAACAGTCAAGGCATTCAACAACTGACTTGTGTTTAGTTTTAATGACTTGCACTAGTTCTTCCGGATGTCATTTTTTAAAAACTACAATTCTACTGCA